GTGCTAATTTTCCTCGAATGTTGAGAATTCACTCGAGGTTTGAGAATCCCTGAGCACTTTACTGTTCAAACTGTGTGAGAACCACCTTCAACAACGACAATCACAGGATTCCTCTCCGGAAGCCAGTTCACTATTTGACAGATTGCGTTTTGATTAACCGCGGGCCCCGGGAGAAACACGGCAAGAAAACTTTTAGCTTTGGTTCGAGTACCCCGGAACCATGCCGTCCATACATTCTTCATGAATTAAATCAAATTCAATTCAGACGACTTTTCGGGCCCCGAAACGAATAAAGTTAACAAAGCATGAACTGTAATTGGCATTACGCATCTATCGATGTATGTCGACTCGTGTGATGGCGTATTAATTTTCCTCTTGGGATAGAGTACAATCAGCTGTGAAGCCAGAAACAAAACCAAGCAACAGGAAATTTACTAATAGACCATATTCGAGTCGGACGATTCAAATATAAGACTTTACTTTAATCCTTAAAGTAAAAGACGCAGATGATGAAGACAGACGTGGTGTCACGATGAGCACCATGATCAAATAACAAAGTCTCGCTAGGGGATTCTCAATTCCAGTGTGAAAAAGAGGTAACCTCGAATTGAAGGCGAACTGAAACGCATTGAAGCACGTTCGGTCATTAGTTTATGAAGAAACTCGGTACCGATTAACATACGTGGACCCTCTTTCCTGTTTTGAAGTTATTCGGATGATAGTAAAACGAAATCGACCCGGGAGTGATCACCAGACAGGTTTGATTTTAATCTTCACATACATCATTCTGGCAAACGAATGCAACTTTCTTGTCCCATAACCACAACAATTGATAATTGAGTGAGGAGCCGTAAAAGATTTAGTGCATCACATTAGGAATAAGTTCCACGAACCGTGAGAAAGAGCTATAACAAGAATATCAATTTCAAACGCCATAGAGTGGATAAATTTCTTAAATCGCAGGCAATTGGAGCCAACAGTTAAGACCATTACTTGTCACTAGCCATCTCCGACACAAACCGCCCCACTGCCTTGCGGGTCAGACTTTGATTAGTCAAACGCGGTTGTGCATTCTACAAGAAAATTCAACTTCCTTGGCCTGGGCAACCTGGCAGTATCCCACCCACAAACAACTAATTGAACTTTCTCTTTTTATAAAGATTATTCTATTCTATGATTTATTGGGCACAGTCTGGATTCAGATCCGTGTGAAATACATCCCCTAGACTTCTCACTAGGCAATGGGCACAAAGGCAACACACGTCAATCAATAACAGTGCTAGCGACAGAGAGCCTTCTCTTAGCACTGCTGAATTCGTTGTTACAGCAGTTCACACAACAGTTGCTAAGATACATGAACTGCAAGACAATGGGCCAGAAAACTGACACTTGAAGTGCGCTGCTTATTACGACGATCATGGTTGTGATAGCAATCAAGGGAAACCAACTATTCTCCTCAGTGTTTTATGGTGGTCATTAGACACTGTTGATCCAGTTTTTCTGGAAAAATATTAATTGAATACTGAAGTTTTGCACATCCTGAGGAATTAGAGATCCGGTCTACGAGCCAAACACCACTGCAACAAAAAATGACGAACAAACGGATGTCAAAGATAAGGCAGATCGGTAAACTATCTGTAAATAAATTGCACGAATCGGTCAGCCAGGTAGAATTAAATACCTGCTTCTTTCATGCATCCAATGAGACAAGAGCATCTAACACTTAAACAGTGGAAAAACTATAACAAAAGTAGGCATGTTATGTGCTGGGTAATAGAAAAAGATTGTAATTTCGATCTCGATTTAAGGTGAGCAACAATGAGGGATTAACTGACCAATGTAACCAATTGTTTGCAATCCGACCGATGCTTTAGCAGGACTGCTGCTTGTCGTTCTTGTTCGGCTGTAGCCTCATTAATTTGCATTTGAGCTTCGGCAACACGACGTCTGGATCGTTCCACTTGATTGCGCATGTCCTGCAAACGGGTGACCAGTCGGTCCAAGAATCCCGGTTTGCTGCGAATCATCAGCAATTGGCTGAGCGAGCTACACAGATCGAGAAATTATTGAAGATGGGATGATGAAATAGAGGGAAAAAATGCAATCGCTCCGGAGAAGACATTACGCTCACTACGAATTGTAACTATAGTAAAATATACGATTTAGCGAAAACCAAGAGAAGGGGATACCGTGGTTGGAGACACTTTGTGGTGAACAATTTGGGGTTTCCAAGGACACCAGTCAATAATGCCACGTACCCTCCGCGACTCCCCGCCAAGTCCCTTGATTTTGTTGTCCAATTTCTCTCACAATAGAAAAAGACGGCCCAGTATGATCAGGGTGGATGTTTCGGTGCACAGATCTCTTCTCGAAATGCTCCTCAATTATCTACGATCCTAGCTTTTGCTGCGGATACTCCAAACGGAGGAATCTTTCTCTAAATTAAAAGCGGAAAGCCAGACTCCAGGGCCAGAAACGGATAGATAATCTATCAACAGCTAGCTCGTCTAGGGGATTTGGTAAAACTACTCATGACGATTCCTATGAAAGACCGCTAGTTTGATTGGGCAACCTGGACTTCGGAAGCCCGGAAGAACGTATAATCTGATAGACGGAACGGTGGCTCCCAATGGATAGCGAACCCGGAGCACCGATCCACCGTCACTTGAGGCAGAAAATAGGTTAAGTTTTTCGAATTCATCTCCTCCTCTGGCTTATGGAACTAAGCAGTATAACAACCCGCAAAAATGACAGAATAGAAACCGAGTGTATAACCGTTTATTTTTCTTTGTGTAACGCTGGCACCCACTCTGCTTTAGGACGATGATCAAATAAAATAATAGTATATCTATTTCGGTGGCTATTCCGTGGCTAGTTTCATTCGATCCCAGCTGGAAAATAATGAACAGAAATTACGGTCTTTGTGGGGTAGCAGACGATTTTTTTATTACACCGGTGTGATTGATAGCAAACGGGGTGGAACCCAGTAGGCACGAAGACTTGCTGTTCATTGATTTCTTAGCTCGCTTCGGTTATCGTGTTCGGCAATTCAGAAGAAGGTACGGTCTCTCGGGACAAAGCGTTGATCACTTCAGAAAGCATTGCTCTCGACCCTTCCCTTGTTGCAAACAGCAATCTAAGAGGTACTCTCATCAAGCTTTCATCCTCCGTGATCCCCGTAAAGATCCCACGCTGATCACGTGTTCATAGCTAATGCTTTTTTGTCATTTCATTGCCCCTCGTCGGCTAACCTCATCTCCATCCGGTTGCGTTATATACAACAATCATCTTTCCTGTATGCAAACCGCAACAAAAATGCCGCACCAGTACCACGTGTGATCTACCTCAGATTTTGGCTTCCATAATTCGTGTGTTCCTTACCAGATCCACTCAAATATATGTAAAAAACGATGATGGATTGTGGGCTATTCTCGTGTCTCCCAGAACCCGTAGAATACTTCCAATGCAAGTATGATAGCATTCGGTTCTGACAGAATGATGACTTACCTGTTTGTCAATCTCCCTCGAAGCGATTCAACATGATCCAGTAAGCTCGATACTTCTTTGGAAGAGACCGACTGTAGACGAGCTGGAGCATTCTGTACGTGAGGGAGTACGGAAGTCGTAAGGCGTAAGGTCGTAAGGTGTAAAAACACATTTAGGGCACATGCTCAGACCTAGTTCTATCGAGTCCGCAGTTCTTCCTATGGTGGTCACAACAAAATGAAGGTAGAACAGTAGCTAAATGTGAGCTTAAATCTGAGAATAGGGGATGGCACAGATCATGTTGGTTCAATGGAAACTACAGATTTTCAACCATTCCGTAACATTCCGCTACGCTCATCTCAAAAAATGCATTTTGTTTCGTGATTGTTGATTTCCTCTGGTTACTAAATGGCAACTTTATTGATGTGACCATCGGTCCTACGAATTATAACATCTTTATACTTACACATCTGTTTACCGTGGCTTTTCTAATCGTCTGTACTTTCTCACGTGGCAATCGCTGTACCATTTCCTACCACCCTTAAATTCATGTGATTATTTGTCATCTTATGAGATCGAAAAACACTTGGTTAGAGCAACCACGATCGCACCTGTGCAACTCATCGCCGCTCTCGGCATTCCGTAAGCCTTATGTTCGCTTTTATTTATTCTTTACGTATTTCGTTTACAGTTACGTTACTTTCAGCCCCTCGTATACCGATCTGCCTGTGACTGTCTTATTACTACAACTGATTGCATGTTCCTGTCTGCATTCTCATTTTTCGTCGCTCAGTGATGAAGGAAAAC